GCACACAGTCATGCTACTACAATTCTTTGATTGATAATTATGTTTAACAGTCTTGTCCAGTGTGTAATCTGATCTACAGATTGTTGAGATGGAGAGGCTAACAAAACACATCAGAACATACTAGAAGTAAAAAAAAAAAGAGAAAAAGTTTGTCATCTCTAACCCCTGTGAGAGAAAAATGTTGAAAAGTCGTTTCATTAGGGAACAAAATGACTTAATAATGGAATTTACCAAGTCTTTCTGCCCTGAATAAACATTGTTGTATGTTTATTTTCTAGATTATAAATATTCTTACTCCAGATGCCCCCATCTAGGGCTGTTTAAAATTGAAAAACACATAATTGCACAACTATCGCTTAATATTGCAACAATACCTTGGGCTGCCAGCAGACTTGCATGCTCATAGCAGACTTCCTCAATATGTTCAACTGTTTTACTTTTGTGCTTTTGCTTTTAAATCTTTGGTAAAAACCCAGTGAAGCCATGAAGCTGAGGTATTTCAACTAAAAGATGCCATACTGTGTGAATTAAGCTGGTCGCAATTAATTCATTAATCGCACGATTAATTAAAATGAGCTTGATAATATTTTTTGAAGGGCAATTTTGTTTACAGAGACACCATACTCCATTTAGTTTATGGTTTAGATCAGTGGTTCCCAAACTATTTCTCCTGGGCCCCCCCTATGGCTTACAAATGGCTGTCTGGTTGAACGATGTGTGTGAGCTAAGGTTTTTAGATTTTTAGAGACTCCCTGTTATACTCAGCCCCGGCTCCAAACAAACAAGGGGGAGGTGGGAATCAACTTTTTTGATCGTAGCTAAACATAGACAACAACACCAGCAGCCTACAGGCTACTTGTTAACAAGCTTAAGGTTCTGTATTGATATTAGCTAGCTAGTCATCTTTTAGCTAACATTACATGCATCCAACAGCTTTACTCAACAGTCGGTTAGTTTGAGGGAAAAACTGTGAAAAGTTCTTTGCGTTTTGCTGGTTTGCTGCCATGATTCTAACACAAACCTGCGTAGCTCTGCACAGCAGCAGCAGGTCTCCTTCACTGTCGCACAGGTGTAAAGACGGCTCGGAAAAACAGGTTACGACATGTTAACAACGGATTAAACAGTTTTAACTGCTGATAAAAGTGACAGAGGACACATATATGGGAAGTGTGGAAGCCTCTACTGTATCAAATTGACATATGAATAACAGAGAGTTGGCCATTCTAAGGTAAAAACCCAGCATATAGCTTTCATGGTGTGTTTTTTTTTTTTTTTTTTTTTTTTTTTTTTTCACCCACAGGCCCCCCAGTTTGGGCTCCCTTGTTTTGTTTTTTGGTGGTTTTTTTTTTTTTTTTTTTTTTTTTTTTTTTTTCACCCACAGGCCCCCCAGTTT